AACAATGACAAATCTTTATCTCTGATACTTTGGAAATGATTTCTCTGGTCAGACCATCACAAAGAACAGAAATGTGCTTGGGTTTCTAACAGCATCTCAGCTCTTGCACGGAATGGGGACATCTTGACTCCGAAGCCCATCCAGCTCCCAGATAAAAAAAACCCCACCACCAAAATCACAGGGGTTTTACCTACACCAAATTATGGGTCACCACCCAATCTTTCCAGGCACTTGGGTTTGGCATCTATCCACACTCAACCCAAAGTCGTTTGAACCCTTGGGAATTTTACAATCAGAAGACAGGCCAACCTCTTGACCCAAATGATTACCAGTTAAGGAATCCTTCTGCACACCTCCAGAGTAAAGAAAGCAACTCGGCACAGCCTTGCGAACCAGACAAAACACACACCTATTTGCAAAATACGTTTGATATTTCACATCGAATGCTGTTCTGGTGCAAAGGGATATTCCTAAATTTACCAAAACAAAGGTGGTGGCAGGAGGAAAGCCAGAGGGAAGCTATCCTTAAAGATTTTCTTGGCCGTACGTGAAGTTTGGTGCTCCAAAGTGGACAACCATGCTTAGTCTTCTTTGTGAATCTCAAGTTGGCTTATTGGGAGCCGCAAGTTGAATTCTGCTCAAGAAGGAAACCTATCTCGGGATGTTTTTCCTTGCTGGAAATGTAACATGGCGGCCGTTTTTCTGGGATGACAGCAGGTTTCTACGACGCCTAGAGTTTTTTTTAAAATTCAACCTCAGCTTGGCTTGAGGAATTTCAGATTAAAAACACCACTCCACCACCATTACCCCGCCCCCACCCCAAATACACACACACACACATCATTTAAACACACACGGGACTCTCCACCCTTGTCTAACGCCTAACCTTTCCCACCTGCCGATATTTCAATCAACAGCCTACGCAGAGACATATTTAATAAACATCTCTCAAATGTTCTCCAGACCCGTGGCCACCACATAAAAACACGCTGACGGGTCGGTGATATCAAGAATGCCTGCGGGGGATCAAAAATTACATTCAGAATGGGCGAAGTTCCCGGTGTCTCAATTTACAATTGATTTTTAATTTAGACACAATTATCAAGGAAGGCATCCCCTTTCTTCAGACGAGGAGGCAAATGTGCCACAAGACGAGAAACGGTGGCTTTCAGAGGGGAATAATAAAAGGGGGAAAGAGAGCTGCAGAAGAAGGGAAATTATAGACGTGGAAGATTTTGTGGGATTTTTACATCTTCGGGTCTTCCTCAGCCTTCCAAGAGGGGAAAAAACGGTATATTATCTTGACTTCATCTCTTCAGTTTCCTAATTTCCACTGTACATTCAGGACTTTGTGGTGGATTTATACGCAAATCTAGAATTTCAGACCAAGGTGCATTCATCTTATTGAGGATCTTTTTTTCCTACTATTGAACCACAAACCATTATTTTTCAGCGGCTGAAACTATCTCAGTCAGTTATGGATATTATTCAAAACTAAAGAGGGGGGGACTATCTTTTTTTTCCTCAAGCACTGAGCAAGATCTACTTTGAAATTCTCATTTTCCAAGTTCTTTAGGAAAGGATTCCCTCAATCAATCTAAAGGGTAGGGGAGCTCACCCAGCACTGCCCTAGCGATACAAACTCTTACTCACTTAAGTTTCAACACAACTGACACACTTTCCACAAAACTGACACCATGAAATGTGAAAGAACTGCTAGCTGGATTTTGCAATTGGGATCAGTTAGAATCAAAACCTGCCTCTTTGCAACCCCATCCCTGCAAACTATTTTTGCACATCTCATTTGCTTTGGTTTTGGGGGAAGAGGAAAGAGCAATTGTGGTCAGGATGGTTAAGTTTTACCTGCGAACGCTAACACTATGAGAATAAACTAGGAAGTAGGCAAATTCACAGAAAAATAACACAGCCACAATCTGCATGATTATTAGGATAATTCACCAGCATTCGCTCAAACTATGTATAAAGTACTGGTAAGATGATGAAAAAAATATAGTTAGTTCTAGTGGCTCTGCATTAGACACATTTTTTTTCTTTAATTTATAAGAGTTTGTAACATTTTCCAATTTTTTGGGTAGGGAAACAGAACAGCGATTCCAAATATTTCACATTTCTCTTCAAAGCTGCATCCAGAACCTTTCAGATATTCCCGCTAACGGGCCCCACTAATTTTTACAAAGCCAAGAATCAGGAAGTAGATAATCATAATTATCAATGATGTAAGAAATGGGAGGGAGGGGCCAGACCCAAAAATAAACCCTGGGAAAATCAAGTTGCCATAAAATATCTCCCACATCACACAAAGAAAGCCAAAGAAACATGGACAAAATAAAGGATGCGTTTTTTAAGACAAGGTTCAATGAAGATCAGTGGCCCACCAGCTTTTAAAAATAAAATAAAAATAAAAATAAAAATAAGCCCAAATCAGGCAAATTC